GCAAACAACAACTGAAATTGCCAAACGATGCTGTTCTGGAAGGCTATTGTTATGGTACAGTTTGCATTTTCATCCAGAATTCTAGAGAAATGACGAAAGATCTTTAGGCACTGCTTATATGTCTTCAATTCGGCCCCGCAAGTTCTGCACCGAAGACACCAAATGACAAAAAGGACGAACCGAAACAGAAACCCTGAAGTGCTTGACATTCATTTGCTACATGCTGTCCATGAATCGTTGTGGGGATAGCAGCATAAATTGTTCGCATCAAATATTTAGCACTACACAGTATAGTCTATACTAGTGCAGTTGACTGCACGGAATTGCTCAGGCTGAGCGCTCGCGAGATGTCTCTTGTGGGCTAAGCATGGCACTCGCGCATAAGTCATCATAGCTCCCGCTTACTGTAGCCGCGCTGCAAGATTTAGATTTTCTTCGACTTTGCAAGCGAAATGGGAATTTGAGGTTTCTTCTGCAGCTTATATTCCCGCATTGTATGCGCGATGGAAGGCCACTCAGGTGCCATTCTTAAGTTTCCTTTTTCTAAAAGAATCGACTGTGTGCAACATTCTGAAAATATTAGAAGTTATGAATGAACATGATGCGAACCAGATCAAGACGACAGAACCTAATACTATAAAGTGCCAGCTATTCAAAAGTTTCCGCCATCAGAAAAGACAGTTATGACCTAACATTGTGAAATTTTGAAAAGCTCAGGTCTACAAGTTTCTCTGCTTCGTTCTCAAGTTGTGATGGAAATACAGAAATAAAAATTCTGAAAAACAAGATACAGTCTTCTGAGCGAACAAAAAATTAGGCTGGTTTAGAGATAATTTCGTTCTCGCCGTAAATCTGCATAAGAACTTCGTTTATGCAAATTTGCATAAGAAAAGTGGAAGGAAAAGTTTTTTTGCCGTTTCTTAAATGAGAATCTTTGAAGGAAAGCGGTTGAAAGTTTTTTCTATCACGTAACAATAGCTCAAAATTTCTATCATCAACAAAGGACACTTATGCCTCAAAATGGCCAAATTTCCAAAAGCTCAAGCTCAACTTTCTTAAGCTTCATCCTCATACTGTTATGGATGTAGATGTTTTTTTTTCAAATGAATTTAGACATGTTCCTCTACTAAGCAAATATCGATAATAATGTGGACTCGTTGAGGTGCACTTTTCAGAGGTGAAACGCTGGACAAAAAATTTGTCTGCAATACTTGTAGCAGCCACAAAAGCGACCTATCGACCCCGCGCGATATAACAGTTATCTCTTTTATCAGTATTAGGTCGTTACATAAGTTCGTAGCGTTTTTATAAGCCAACAAAATCATCAATTTACAGTAAAAACCACTCAAAATTATATTCCTGGTTGTAGCGCACAACCTTTTGGCACATTTTTGTTAGCTTCTCAACCTCAATTTTTCAAACGCCAGCGCGCCGGGTCCCAAGAAAGTCATCTAACCAGCGCTCAAGTTGCTTACTGAAATCGAGGCATGCACAATTCGTGAGGTTTGCCAGAGAGCGGAGCAGAAATCTAGTAGAGCAAGGTTTGGAGATTTTGGGTACTGAAGCACCTTCCAGTCGAGTCGTGCAGGAGAGTTTTGACGACGTTTGCCGTATGAGGCCATGTTTCGTCATGCAGAAAAACTCACTGGATTTGTCTGTTAGGCTTTTTCTGCGGTAGGACCTGGTTTAAACCGTGCAGTTGGATTGCTTATGGTGTGGTTAACCGTCGCCTATTTGTCCAGCAATATTCAGTGCAGGACGCCTTGCCCGCCCCCGAAAAGTCTTGTTCAGGGACATCCTGCTCAGCTCCTGCTCTTTTGTATTAATCCAATTCTTTTTTGTCTTATATTGACGAACAAACGCCACGTTACATAACCGACACAAAAATCTGTGCAAAAACGCACCTTTTCATAACGAAAAAGGCGCAAATGCCGAAACTCCTTTTTGCCTTTCAAAATTTCCATCTTTGGAAGCTGCGAGATCCGAATGAATTAGCTTTCCACCGAAATCAGTAGATGTATTTCAAAGAGCACAATCAGCCCTTCCAAACGATATATGCATCCCGCCGCAAATCAACCGCTCCTCAAAGATATGAGTACGAAAATAAAAACGCCACGAACTTATGGAACGACCTAATAGCTTGGAAGATTATGAACAGAATAGCAGTATGGAAAATTGTCACAAAGAAAAAGTCAACATTGAGAAACGAAAACGACTGGCAAATGAGTGGAGATGATCCTAATTCAAGTGAACCAAATCAAGATGAATGCCGTATAAAGGCAAGACATCACAACTTCTGTGGAATTGCCATAACTTGAGGTCATAGCTTTTGCGCCATAGAATTAAGAAGCGGAATTCAAAGGCGTGCGTCGAGCCAACTTTTGGCTATCTAATGCGTTCCTGTACAAAAACGCTGATGCAAAATGATCTGTCACATTTGTAGACCATCTGTACCATTACAGCGGGTGAGACAATTCGGGGCATGACTGAGAGGCCGTTGAATGTACGCGCCGTGCTCGTGTTATTGTACAACCAATTATCATTTCGATGTCCTCCTTCTCCGTCCTTCGAATCCTTTTGATACTGATTTCGACAGTATCCTCAAATCAGATCTCAATGCAGTGTCAAATTATTGCAAAGAAGAGTTTGTTATAATATCTTTAAAATCGTTGAATTATACTTTTGTTCACTAGTCGCGATAATGCTTGTATGACTGTACGCAGACTTTGTAAAAGTGTTTAGAAGTAATGTCAACTGTCAATTTGAATAGAATGAAAGAAGCCTAGTTGACATTTTTCATAACATCACCAGAGAGGTGACATTCTTCATTTGCTGGAAAAGGAAGTAAAATACGTCCCAACCAGGTCTTGGTCTCCTCCCTGATTGCTTTGAATGAGGACAGATTTGGATCTGGCATATTCGACCAGGAGATGAGCACTTCTATACTCCACTTTTATCTTCTCAAAATTACTCACATATGCCATTTTTCTGTTTTTTAGCTCTGGCCTAAAACTTTTGGAGATGTCTGGTGCCTTGAGTGTTTTATAACTGAGGTAAGTTCTAAATCTTTTTGCATTGTTACAATATCGGATGAAAACAAATTTTTTTTTGTTCAAATGACGCCGCCAATTGAGCCTTTTTCGTTATGAAAAAAAGCGTTTTTGCACAGATTTTCGTGTCGATTAGTACTCTGCGTTGATACCACTGCT